CAGGATGATACAGATGTTGTTTACCATTGAGTTCAATTGGAAAAAAAAGGACAGTGAAACTTTAGTCTCTGTGTCTTTGAAGTTCTGAAATATCCATCATATGAATTGGAATGACTAGTATAAGAGCAGCTTCAAAGTAGGGAGCCCTCCCTAATTTTAGCAAGCTTTAAGAGCCTCTAACTCAAAATCATTATGAACTATAATCCAGTATTTTTTGCTACCAGATGTTTTGCTACCAAAAATGCCTCTATCAGTCTCAGAGAAATCAGATTTATCTTAACAATATTATTATCTCTGAGTTAAGTTGTAGCCAAACTAGTGAAGACCTTTTGCAATTTTCTTTTTTTTTTGGTTCAACTAGCATGGATCTTGATGGCTCTGAACAAGATCCTGAAATGAAGGAATATTCTTCTGTCTGTGTTGGCAGAGAAGATGACATTAAAAAATCCGAAAGAATGACAGCTGTTGTCCATGATAGAGAAGTAGTCATTTTCTACCACAAAGGAGAATATCATGCTATGGATATTCGCTGTTACCGTAAGGTTTTATTTTTCATTTGCAAATCTTATATTTGTTTACTACCACAAAATTATCAAAATTTCAGTTTTTTTAGTAACTAGATGTAATATTCAATTCCTTTTCAGATTCAGGAGGACCTTTACATTTGGGAGAAATAGAGGTATGTAAAATTAAATCTATTCTCAACAAACTCAGATGCTTCCTATTTATATTCATATTTCATTCTGTATTCAAAAATAATCTACATTTGAATTTGGACTATTTTTAATGCATTGAGTGTAACTGCTAATATTCTAGGAAGTCACAGCCCTACAACATAAAGAAAACTATTTCACAGATAAATGTGAGAAACATACATATCTTCTGACCTAGCAATTATACTCTGTGATATCTACCCTACAGATGTAATTGCATAAATGTTTAAGTATATATACATATATATGAGAGGTTCATTGCAGCATTATTTTAATAAAGAATTGATGACAACCTAAATGTTTTAACAATAGGAAACAGTTAAATAAATTATAAATAGCCATGCTACGGAATACTATTAAATTAATGAGGCAGATATATGTGTTGGTATAAGGGAATCAATGATATATTTTTGGGTGAAAAATGCAAGTTATAAAATAATAGGTCTAATGCAACCCCATTTTTAAAATAAAAAAAAATACTTTTTACTTTTTCCACTTCTGCATAGTTTGAATTTTTTCCAATGAGTATATGTTACTTTTATAATGTAACAAAAATATAAATATATATTTTTAAAGAAAGAAACCACACTGAGAGCTTAACTGAGGAAGGGGATGATAGGACTGTCTTACGTCCTTGCATTCCGAAACTAGCTGCCTTATAATTTGTTTTTCTACTTTATAAAACTGGTCTGTCTGTTTGTCTGTGCCTCTCTCACTCTCTCTCTCTCTCTGACTTCATTTACCTAGTTCCACACCTGCCCTGTTAAAGGACACGTGTTTAAATTATGAATGTTAATTTATGAATTATGAAAATGTGAATGTTTGCTAACAGTTCTGTGGTGATACAATATCAGCATTCCTGTCCTTCTGGTGTAGAGAAAAGCAACTGGTAATGATAATGTGGAAAGAATCTTCCTCTGTTTCAGGCCATAATGAAAGCTGGAAGACCATGCTACTCAAACTGTGGTCCACAAAGCAGGAATACTAGTGTCACCTGGGACTTCTTGGAAATGCAGAATCTTGTGCCCGCCCTAGGCCTACTGAATTTAAACAAATCTGCATTTAAGCGAGATGCAGGTGATTCTTGTGCTCTTAAACTTTAAGAAGCACTGCTTTAAGACAGTTAAAAAGTTGAGAATTGACTACTTTGGATCATAAATCATAAGCTTCAGATATTAAGTTCAAGAGAGATTACTAAAAGCATGGGTGCATTCTTCCAGCAGCTAGTGAAAATTCCTTTAGAAGCACATGAAGCCCTTGCCTCATTTCTGTCAAGGAAGTGACTTTGACATCTAATGGATAAACAGCACAGCTGCAGTAACATGGCTACTTCCTGAATTAGTTATCTTCTGATAGAGCTCTCACATACTGGGCTTATAATCAATTACAAAAGAGACTTGATGTCTGCTAAGAGTAGGTTCTGCCTTATGTTGAATAATTTGTCAATGGGAGGAAAAAGAGAAGCTGGCCTGTTATTTAACCTGGTTCTTCTGCAATAGATTCTGGTCTGAGTCTGAGGTTTATTGTGAACATTAGAAATGTCAGACTATTAAATCAATTATTTCCTTCCCTAGGATTTTGATGGACGGCCGTGTATAGTTTGTCCCTGGCATAAATACAAAATTACTTTGGCAACAGGAGAAGGACTATATCAGTCTATAAACCCTAAAGATCCATCAGCAAAACCCAAGTGGTGTTCCAAAGGAGTAAAGCAAAGGATTCATACAGTGACAGTGGACAATGGGAATATTTACGTGACTCTTTCTAATGAACCTTTTAAGTGTGACTCTGATTTTTATGCCACTGGAGACTTCAAAGTAATTAAGAGTCCTTCCTGATAAAATTATATGGCAATGAAAAGTGTTGTGTATGTTTTGAAAATAATAATATATTGTTTAAATAATACCTTGCTTAAATACCAAAGATGATTAATTTTTTCCAGCATAGGCACATTTATTACTTATCGTTAAAAATCATGTAATCTGAGAGGTTCAAAAGCACATGAACTGAGTATGATGTAAGGATTATCATCAGGATTTATAGAATACATTTCATCCAATTTTCTGGATTGATTAGGACCTGAAGGTTATAGATCTGGTATGTGCCTTTTAAGAAGGATGAAAATAATTTGAAGTAACTAAAATGAAGAAAAGGTAAAAAATAACATCTACTAAGAAAAATTTGGGTGGAAAAAAACCTATTTGTTGTAGCAGATTTCATCATGGAAAAGTTTTAATATATACAAAGGAAACAGAATAGTATAATAAACTCCCATCGCCCAACTTCAGCAATTACCAGCATTCTCCCATTCTTGTTTCATTGTTACCTCCATACATTCCTCATCTCCCCTATTTGATTATTATTATTACTTTTTTTTAGGTAAAATTTAAACACATTGAAATGTTTAAATCTTAACTGTCAATTTTTCCAAATATATAGCAGACTTTTTACACTTAAAAAATGCCTTCAAAAATGGGATCAATTTACATGCTGAATTTAAAAATAAGGAACTTATCAGTATGCTGGACATCAAAACCAAATAAACTTTGGCTCAATGTCTCTCCAAACAAGCCAAACAGTCTTAAAGTAGGAAGACACACACAGTTGCTGCCCAACCATGGGAGATGTGAAATCTCCTATTTGGTAAGCCAAAGTACTCTGGATGCCTATATGAAATTTTCAAATACATGGTTTTGGTTTTTTTTAGGGAACTCTGCATATATGTACAACTGTTTCATGTAAGTGTTATAAAGAGAAGAGATATAAGGTGTTGTTCCTCAGAATTCTTTCTGCTGAGTTGATGTTAAGTTGGTTGACCCTGTTTTTATTATGCCAATTATTTGTGACCAGCATTGTTCTGGTTGCCTGGTGTTCACACTGCACTAAATACCCTGAGTGCTGGTCCTCTAAAACTCAGCAGCACATAGAATATAAGAGTTAGTGGAACCAGAAAGACCTAGGATGAGCAGAATATGAATTTGGAGTGAGAAGAGTTGTTTGTCAAGATTGGAACCTAGTCTCAAAGAACAGCAATCTTCTTAGTGACACTGGATTGAATTAAGGCTCCAAACCTAATACCTAGCATTCTAAGGAGCCCACCTGGACTCTTTTCCTTGATTATTATAAAAATAACAAGTGAATAAAGTATGCATCATTAAGGCTATGCTTATAGAACCCTTTGCTACATATTATTACATTTCTTTTTCTGATGCAATTTGGGTAGCATGAGATAATACAACACTTGATACATTTTTCAGACTACCAGTAAAGATCCAGGCTTGAGCTTTGTATAAATACTGTTTATGGCAGCAGCTACTCAGCAGGTACAGGAAATGTATTATCTTTGGGATGGGGACATCCCAACCTATTATATTAGATGCTAATCCTCCAGTGACCAGTCAGGTCTTAACATGTGGCCAGAACTTAAAATTCATGAAAGAAACGAAAGTACCTTCTATAGATAAAACCATGGCCCTAGTTTGCAAGGCCAATTACAGAAGTATTTTCTCTCAGGATCCAGTGGCAACAATGAGTAATATGGACTTGATTTCTGGTTCTAGATTTGGTACTCTAAATCTGGAAATAAAAAATGTCCTGTCATGTTCTGTCCTCATATATAGAAATTTTCTCATCAGATTTGTAAATAATACCGTTTTAGAAATTTATGGCGTCTATGAATTGTAAGTCCTTCATAATTTACAGATAAGTTATACAAGAATTGATAATAGGCAGACTCAAACTATGCAGCCTGTATATAGAAAACAAATACTCTTTTAAAAATATCTCTGAAAAAGATATGTAGCATTTTGACAGGGTTGGGTTTTTTTCCCTCCTAGAAAAATAATTGAAAAGATACTTGAAACAAATCTTTAATAAAAACATAAATATATTATAAATATACCCATATTATAAACCACAGCATAAAATCTAACCCACCAAAATGGTACATTTTCTTGTTCATTACAAAATATATAGTTAGTTATACATATATTCTAAATCAAGATTCATTTCATTTTCTTTACCATATACTTAAGAATGACATTTTATTAGTAATTCCTCACCCCCCCCCTTTTTTTTAAAGTAGAGCAGTCAGTGTATGAAAATTAATTTACTAGTTTCGTCAGATGAAATGTCAGATAACTCTTAGGCTCTATTAAGATATTTGTGTTCATATTTGTTCATTCATTCATTTCAGTTGACTGGTCAAATACAGAATGTAAAACCTGGATCTTATTACTCAACTTAGTAGGAAGTTTGGGGCGATTGGAAATACTGTCTGGCTTCTCCGGTAATGACCTGTAAGGTTTTGCTTTGATTTCACCTTCAGGAAACATAGGCTCAGAAAGAACAGGTTCAGAAAAGGCTTTTCTGATATTTTCACTCTCCTCTCTGTTTTGCCTTATGGATTCTTCTTCTTGGAAAATTTTCTTTACCTTCTCCAATACAGCATTAACACAGACTGTCTAATAAAAAAAAAATTGAAAAATGAATTTTCTTTTTAAGCTACTAAACTTACAGATAGAAAGTCTAATAAAATGTTTAACATAAAGCTATTAATCTACATATTCTAATAAAGAAGCACTTCCTTTCAGGAACCCCTGGCACATGGTAAACATCAGGAGATTGATTCCTTGTTCTAAATATATTATTGCTCCATAATCTAGAAAGAAAATTAAAACCTACTATGATTCAATAAAGAATGTTTTACATCTTGTCTCAATTCATTAGATGTTTTACATTTTTATTCTGATTTAATTATTAAATGAAACATTTCCTTTATTCTCCTGATTTAATTAAATGAAATGTTTTCTGAAAGCTGGAATTTGTCTCCAAACATGATAATATCTCAAAGTAGGTTTTTGTTATTGCTCTCCCACCCCACCCGGGACTTTGCTTAAACCTATGTGTACAACTGGAAGGGCATAAACATGTTGGTTAAGAATTTAGTAAGCTAGTAGATCAATGATTTTTAAGCAAACATGTGATCCACTTTCCCTCAGAAAATGCCATTCAGTACTTTAAGAAAGTGTCAGAAAACAAAACATATAGAGAAAAATAATTTCAAAAACAGTGTCACTAAGAACTATATCCATTAAACTTATTCTGTAAGTTTACTAATGATGAAGATGGTGATATGTCAAGTATTTAAGGCAAGCAACAAAATAATAAAATCCATGAAATAAGACCTAGATTAACTAGCAGAGATGCTTCAAGGTGATAACTGGCTGTAAACACTTAGAACATTTTCAGAGAGTAATAGAGAAAGAACTACAGGGCTCAGCTTGAAGCACCTCAATTTTCTCCTGACCTGTCTCCCTCCTACTATAAAATGGAGAAACATCAGATGCTTTCTTTTACTTCCCTGTAGTTAGCTTGTGCCCACACGACCCTGTTCTGGCCAAAGAAATAAAATACGTCTGTTGGGGAGGAAGTCAAGAGGATTTTTGGAAAAGTTTTTTCTCCTGAAAAGAAAGACTGTCTTTTGCCTCTACCTATTCCCCTCCTTCCTGCTTTAGACACTGATATGGATGTGATACCGTAAGAACCAAAAAGAACAAACAGGATAGCAGAAGAGAAAGACAGAGAAGCCTTGGGTTTATGATGACATTGTAGATCCACTATACAAACCCGGGAACTGCTTAAGTCCAGGCTTCTAATCAAGTGGAATATTTAAATGTCTTTATCTATTAAGGCACTATTAGGAATTTTTTATTACTTGCATCCAAGTATATCCAAACTTAGAGCTATAAAATTTGAGGTCCATCACTTCTAGCTGCGAGCAATTTCATCCATTTATCCCAAATATGATTATTTTCTATGTATGTGAAAAAGGTTGGGAAGCCCTATCCTATTTGACACATATCTTCTTTCCTCACCTATAAAATTTCATCTTGGCCTATTCTAACCACTTCTGTCTCAGAAAATGAAAGGTCTTGATCAAAGTGAGTATCTGTCTTTGCGTTTAACCTATACCCTCTCATCTTCCCTATCAGTTATTCCCTGCCTCTTCAACCTCTCATTCTTGACTGGCTCTACCCCTTCAGCCTGTAACATGCTCATGTATCTTCCATCCTAAAATATAAAATTAAAAATCCATCTACGGCCATGTTACCCTGAACAAGCCCGATCTCATCTGATCTTGGAAGCCAAGCAGGGTCGGGCCTGGTTAGTACTTGGATGGGAGACCACCCAGGAAGACCAGGTGCTGTAGGTATAAAAAAATAAAATAAAATAAAATATAAAATCAAATAAAGGGATTATAAACTGACGAGGTCCTTGCAATTTGTGAGGTCAACCAAGGGTTGCCTCACCTAAAAAAAATAAAATAATTAAAATAAATAAAAATCCCAGGGACCCTTTTTTCCCTCTTGGTGGCTACACACTCCCTCTTGACCAAACCAGAATGTATATTCACATTTTCTATTTTATCATCTCTTCACTCCAAAGCTTGCTTATTTGTCTTTCTTGTCCCATCACACCACTGAAGTAGTTCTCCAGATGGTTAATTCCAACATCTTTACCACTAGATCTAAAGAACACTTTCAACTCTTCATTTTACTTGACTTTCTCAGCTTATATTTGACACTTAACCACTTAAAACTCTGAGTCTCCATTTCCTTGACACTGTTTCTCATTCTCTTCCTACTTTTCTGATTATTGTTTCTTTGTCTCCTTCATGGATTTCTTCTTAGCTCAACTTAAATGTTGCTATTCTTCACATTTCTGTTGACTTTGCACTCTTTTCACTTGGCATGGTTCCACTTAGGGTATTAACTTTAAACATGTATGGTATTTGCCTTCAAAACCATAATTCCAGACCTGACCCCTCCTAGGTCTTATATATGACCTATTATCCAGTCACCAAAAATTGTTTCTATTACCTACTTAGAAAGTTAATAGCATGACAAATCATGTGGGATGATTTCAAAGCCTTTTTGAAATTAAGAGTTAATTTTGGTGTTGGTCTGGTTTATTTTAGTTTTGCCATAGCCATTTCATCCCACCCATTTCTGCAGCGTGTTTGTATCCTAGCTCAACTGAATGCCAATTTTGTATGAAATTCGCATGTAAGATATTGAGCACGTCTCAAAAATTCTAAACACTTGCAAAGTATTCATTTAATAAATTCAGTTTTTTTAACTATAAATGTGTTTAAAAGTAATTTATTTTACTTTTTTCTCCAAGATGTTATGGCTATTCTTGACCCCTTTACATTTACATTCTTGACCCTATAAATTTTAGAATAAACTAGTCAACTTACACACACACCCCCCTCAGATTTGAACTGGGATTGCACTGAATCTATAGATTATAGGGAAATTTTAATCTTTATTATTTTATGTTTCAATATGACCAAAAATATTAACAAAGATGTTCAAAACCTCTAACCCCACCAAAAAAAATTTAAGAGAAATTTAAGAAGACCTAAATAGAGGGATATACCTTATTCATAGATTGGAAAGAGGACTTATTCTACCAGTTATTAAGACTTATTATAAAGCTCCTGTAAATAAGTGTTGAATTGGTGCAAGAATAGACAACTAAACCAACTGTATAGAATAGACAGTCTATAAACAGATCTACATTTGTAAGGACACTTGATTTATGACAAAAGAAATGTTCTGGGGAGATTGAAAAAAGGTTTTTTCCCTAATATATTGAGTTAGTTCAAGTGGATACTAATGGAGGAAAAATTTGACCCTTATCTTATACCAATTCCAGATGGATTATAAATCTAAAAGCAAAAGGTAAAATAATAAAGCTCCTAAAATATATCAGAGGGAATAGTTTCATCACCTCGGGTGTACATCAAAATTCCCTAATTAAGACATATAAAGCATTTAACATAAATAAAAACATTAAAAAACTGGACTACATTAAAATTAAGAACTTCTATTTTAAAAGACACGGCTAAAGGAGTGAAAAGGTAAGTCACAGAATAAAAGAAATTTTCCCATATGTAACCAAAAGAGGGCTTGTTCCTAGAATACACTTTTAAAATACAAATCAATAATGAAAAGATGGACGACTCAAGAAAAAATTAGAAGAGATAACAGAAATTCACAAAAAAGATACCTAAATGTCCAATTAATTTATTAAAAGGTACTCAATCTCATTAATAGTCAAGAAAATGTAAGTTAAAACCACAGTGTGGTAATACTACATACCCACAAGAATGGCTAAAGTGGAAAAGTTTGATAATACCAAGTGTCATTGAAGAAGTAGAGCTTCTGGGACTCTATCTTCTGGTATCAACTAATAAAACCCTTTTGGAAAACAGGCAATATCTACTAGAGATAACACATGCATATTCTATGGTCCACCAATTTCACCAAAACATATGTACAAGAATATTCATAGCATCTGCTTCACAAGCAGCTAAAACTAAATAATCTAGATGTTCAATAGTAGGATGGATAAATGGTGATATAAATAGTCAATCAATAGAATACTGCACAGCAATGAAGGTCAACAAACTACTGCTACAGGCATCAAATGAATGAATCTCACAATGATAATGTGAAGCAAAAGAAGACATACAAAAGAATATATAGTAAATGTTTTCATTTATAAAAAATTCAAACGAAACTCTCTGATAGTAGAAGGATAAATAGTGGTTGCCTTCACAGAATAGGTTAGTGATTGTGAGGAGGACAAAAGAGAAGCTTCCAGAATGATGGTAATGTTTTGTTTCTTGATCCGTACAGTATATAGGTTAATAGATTTTGTGATAATTCATCAAGCTGTGTACTTTTCTCTTTGTAATACTTTTTTTTTTTTTTCAAATTTTAAGTATAAATGGTAAGTATAAATGGCAATGGAGTAAAAGAAAATAACCCTTTATAATTTATAAAACCTTTTATATTTTTGTCATGCTTTTTAATGGGCCTTTTTTTGAATTACAGCATTTGTAATTCAAAACACACTTTTTAAAACATATATTTGTGTTCCCCAAAATCACACACCTAAATAATGGAATACTGAATTTTAGCCAACCACAGCATGATGGCTGAAACAAACACCAACTAAATGAAAGCAAAAACAAAATGTTTTGACTAAGTAGTAACAAACTTTATAAAAATAAAATAATTTTAGTTATTTAAGCAAATTAGCTTTTAGTGGATTGAAGTAAATTTTTAATGTAAAATTATTTTGTACAACAAGAGAATAGTACCTTGGTTTATGAATAGACTGTACAGTATATCTCTAACATTACATAAAAATAGGTATATTTATTTCTAGATTCCAATAATTTTCTTAACTTACCAAATAAATGAGTGCTGCATATGAAGCACATATTATGCTAGTTAAAGCAGTCTTTGCTGGAAAGGAAATAATTTCAAACAAAGAACCCTTTCTGGCCTGAAAAAACAGAAGAGAGTTTTCTTATCAAAACAAAAGTTTTCAATGTCACAATGTTAAATTTTACAATGTTATTGTAAGAATTTAAATGAGAATTTAAATATTTCTTTCTAAAGAAAATCATCTACTTTAGATCTCTCTGGGTTTTTTTACATCCTGAAAATATATTAATTAATTTTTCTCCTTTTACAGAAAGATATTCTTTTTTGCTAATCAAAACCTATGACAAATCTATGAAAAACCTTGCATTTCCAAAATCTAAATTACCTTAACTTTTTTACATTTACCAAGTGCTCACTAGGGGGTGCTGCTGTGCATGTTAGAAGAACAGTCTTCTTTGTTCAAATTCATGTAATCATCCTTTACAAAATTACTCATTTCTTCAATTAAGCAAAATATTGAACATTTTCTGGAGATGAATGACCAGCTTGGAAATGTTAATCATGAGACTGCTGAAGGCCAGCATTAACCTTAGATGATCATCGAGCTTCAGGAAGTGCTCTGTGCTCATATCCAGCATGCACTTTGGAAACGCAGAGAAGGTTTACACCAATAATGAATCTGTCTCTCAGATGCTTCTAGCTTCTGGTAATAGAAAGTGTCCCTGCCTAAAATATAATAGTATAACATATTCAGTTTAAGGGAACAATGCTCTTATAGGCCACCTATGTCGCCTTGAGCAGGATATGAAATGAGGACATTAGGAAAAACATCCCCTTCCCATTCAGCAGTGCAGTGGCAGTTAGCCATGCTCCTCTGAAGAGCCAAGCCATCAATGAATGCCTTCAATAACTCTCAAAAGGTACAGGCTGTAGCGAATAAAATCATGTAATCGCACAGCAAAAATGCACACAAACTAGAAAGAACAGTATGTATGTATTCATTAAAAAGTTACTTATAACATTGACAAACCAAAGCAATTGATGATAGAGTGATTAGGTAAATTATGCTATATCCACTCAATGGTTTACTGCAGCCTTTGAAAAGGTACCTCTAAAGAACATGTGATAACATTTTATTGAACAACATTTATAAGGCACTGTGTACCAAGTCCTGTTCTAAGTGCTTGTCATTGTAGTAAACTGTTTTTGCTCCCTGCTGTTCCAACTGACTGATGAACAAAATTACCCATCACAATTTCCCTTCTTCTCTCAAGAGATTTATGGAATGCTGAACCCAAGAATTCTATCTATCCTAGTGGCTAAGGGATGGCAGTGGGGGTGGGGATTCCCTTCTTATTCCCAATCTTTGAGGCCACACCAACTCCTAGACATAGGAATAGGTAGGGGCAGTTTTAGCCCCCTCCATAAATCAGTCTTGACAATTTCCCAGCAATTCCTGACTTCTGGAAAGAGTTTCCAGGAAATGAAGCAGCTGTTGCTGTTTCCCTCTTGCTAGAAGAATCAAAATGATAGATAGCGTGCCTTCAAATTCTACTATTAGGCTACAAGGAGACATCTGTTATATGAGTAGAGAGAAGATTCAGACATTAGGAAGGAAAGCAGGTACACTTCAACAAAATGCCTCCTAGTAGAGTAAATAATTACAAGTTTGTGAATTTTTGAATGTTAAATAGGAGGTCCATATTCAATAGCTGGTAAACCATATACAAAAAAAAAAAGCAGGGTCTGCATGCATAAGAAATTATTCTATTTCTGTTTCACTGCATCTTTCTTTTTCAGATTTGCCTTTCACCTAAAAGTAATTTAAATTGAGTAGTTTCAAAATAAATTATGTATTTAACACGTTATGCTTCTGAATGACGAATCTGTATGTTGTCTAAGGGCCACTTTTTTGCTATTTTAATGCTTTTAATGAATACTTGCTATTCCTGTGACAAATCATCCCTGTAGAAAATACATTTATTTACTCCAAAATTCATGTGGCTACTGGCAAGTGGCCATTTTTCAATTTTATGACTCACTTGCAATACATGTTTTTTCATATTATACCCTGTTTCATTTCTGGCTTACTATGAGCAGGGACAGTATATAGTAAAAACTGAAATAAATAAACAGGAGAAATTTGGTAAATGGGAGGCTTTACTTAGATTGCCTTGGCTTAGTTCAAAACTTTTATCTTTGTTGTTATATTAATTGTATGTCATTTGCATATTTAAGTTAAAAGTATCTTGGTATCAATATTATGCCCATATAGTTCTTTTTTTAAAAAAAATTGGTGATATTAACACGTAAGCTATATAGATATTTCAACAGTAAAAACATTTCAATCTCTAACTAAATTTCTCCCACATAATTTTGACTGCCTCATCTCATAAAAGAACTATGTTCGCTTTATTTTCACTAATAATGAGGAAAATCACAAAAAGCAAACTATAAGCAGATTAGAAAATAAAGATCTACTCATAGATGACTTAAAGGTTAGAAAACTCCCAGGCTCGACTTAGTTTACGTTGTCCAAAAACACCTTGATGAGGGATATCAAGGGAATAATAGGAAAAACTCACACAGTGATTCACAAGTAAGTACTGTAAGAAGAGCTGACTGCTGTTAATAGATAGGTCCAGAAAAAAGTGCTTCCTGTAAGTTTGGGAAAGCTGTATGACCATGTCTTTGCTTAGCAACCCACAATACTCATGAAGACAGGAAAGACTCCTCACAGTCCACAGTAAAGAAACCTATTTGACTTTGTTTATCCCAATATTAACATCCGGTGGGGCACTGTTCTTGAATAAGCTCTTAATCAGGTGGTCCTATAAAAGCTCAAATGCCACACCCTCTTGGCCAAAATGGAGAATTCTGTCTTCAAGATGCCAGTGGTACTGCTTTCTAGGAATCGTCCATTTTCCCAGGGTCTTGAATAACACCACCCAAGACAGCCTCACGGCATGCCCGTCCATGGACCTACAAAAGTTCCTGATATTTGTGAGGTTTATAGTTTAAACCTCAAACTGGAGTTTACCTTGGAGGTTTAGGGATGAGGAAGAAACTTTACTTAGAAAAGCATCTGACCTTTATTCTGAAAAAGGGAACACAAGTCACCGGGATTTACCTATGACACAGGCATTTTAAAGGCTGAGGGTTTTCTACACTTTTGCCTATATTTTGCCTACACCACTCTACAGTGCCTGTACAAAGTAGAAACAGTCATCTCTGATGCCACTATAAGGAAGATTCTATCACAGGAAGAGCTCCTGGTCCTGTGGCCTTGGTCTGGCCTGCCAAAGTCAACAACTATGTCTGGGAGCTGACGTGTCTTGGCTGAAGTCAGCACTCAAGTTGATTATCTAGGTCACTGCAGCTTAGAGCAGCTGCAAACATCACTCAGCCAGGCAGTTTACAAACCAAAGCAGATGCACCTTTCTTTGAGTACTGGTGCTAGGAATGTTAAAAATTACCAGGATATTCTCTATTCAGTTTTCCATTCCTGAGGCCCTTTATAGAACTAGCAGATATATCACTACAACCTCAGCCACACAGAACCTGGAAAGGTTTGAGAAGCAACCTGACTGAGCACCGATAGAGCCAGATATAAAGTCTTTTTAACAAGGTGGCCAGCTGGAAATTCGTAGCCCCAGCTCTCTGTGCTTGTGTCACAACAAGCCATCAGAATCCCTCCGGGTCACCTGTATCAGTTGGATCTTTGAATAGTTCATATTTGGTATATCTTTGAATATGCTAAGATATTCAGGAAATGCTCTGGAACTGATCATCCAACCGAAAAGGCCTGGGTAGATTGTCAATGGAGCTTCTGTGATAGTGTCCATTCTCTAATTACCTCGAGGAGACCATTTCTATATGCTTCATCTCAGATCACATTAAAGGGCTAAAACTCTATCCTAGTTATAGTAAGTGTCCTAATGAAAACACTCCTCTATTCTGTGTTCTTGAGGGAGATAATCTGCCTGACTGGAGAGCCCAGCTACATAATATCCAACAGAATTTTGGTAAAACCATTTACAATGCTGTAGGTAGATCATCCTCTCATCAGTGATGAGACAGAACACATGAAGAGGATCTTTGACACATACCTACAAATACATTAACAAGGCAGCTTTCTCTCCTATATAAAGTGATGTCCTTCATGCATCTACAAAGTATACCCCCTTGTATAGCAATTCCAGATTTCACTCCTTTTACTTCTGTACACCACAAAATTCCACCTTGACACACACAGCCTCACAATTCTTGAATTCATGTTGGAATCCACACTGGGTTTGTTGAACTCTGTCACTTTAGGAAGGGACAGCAGTGTACCAAAGCTGGTATAGGTCCTCTGTGCTTTGCCACTTACTTCTCAGCATACTCTAGTACTGTGATATCCTCTATTCACAATCCATTGACCTCCACCACCCCTCAGACATCATTCTGTTGCTTCTTTGACTATCCAGGCCATCGTCTTCACTATTTATACTTATATTTCAGCCATCAGATTCAGACTTTCGGGTTTGAGATATCTTGTTTTCTTTCTTGCTACAACTTAAGTTTCCTCTGTGAGGCAATTCTGATTCTCTGCCCTAGCTAATACATATGACCCAAGTAAAGCTTCTTCCTCACTCCCACCCTCGAGGACCCTGGAATCTCTGACCTGGCACTGTTTCCACTTGTCTCACTCCAGCCATGTAGAACTACTTACATTTTCTAAGTAAGTCATGCTTTCTTCTCTCATCTCAGCATCTTAATATGTACTGTTCTCTTCCTAGAATGATTCTCCTACTTATTTACCTGGCTAATTTCTCCTCCTTCAAGTCTCAGATCAAGTATCATCTTCGAGAAAGCCTACACTGACTACTCTTTGCAATCACGTGCTCCTTGTTGATACTTCCATAGTATATTTTGCACACTCAATCGTGCACTTGCTACACTTCACCAGCATTGCGTACTTACTATCATTCCCACAGTTCATAAGGCAAGGGTGAGACATCTATAAATACCTAGTACCTAAACTAGTGATTTTACAGGCCGGGTTTTCAATAAATATTTGTTGAATGAATGAAAAAGTAGAATTACTTTACTTCCCTCCAAAAAACTCTACCATCT